GAAGAAACCCAGCTTAATAGTAGGGTTTACTAGCCTGGCTGAACCCAGGACACATGGCTATGATGAAAATAAGGAACAGGACACCCTTCAAGCTAGTCCTCCTCTTCACCAGCCCACAAACTCCATTCTTCTCCTGCAGTGGACTCTGAATCATTCTGGCCTCTAATCAGGTGAGGAGGTTTCTTCCTGCTGTCTTGGAGGACAGATGAGGTTGAATATTCAAAGCCAAATTGGTAGTAGGAGTAAGGATGTAGGAAAGAAATCTTTTATTTCCACAAATTTATCTTGAGTACTCACAATTACTCACTCGGTTATTTTCCAGCATCTTTTTTCCTTAACTGTATGTAGCTGATACTGACACTGAAAACAGCAGAAACTTGGGGGGGGTGGGGGGGAAGTAATGAATTTACCCCTTTTCATTCTCTCACTGAAGGATGGAAAAATAACCTTCTAGCAGATGGCACAAACAGAAGTTGTAAAATAGATGCCAGGTCACTTTTGTCCTGGACTTGCCAGCTTCTTGTAGAAATGCTACTGCAGGAAGTAGTGAACACAACTCTAAGACTTCTACCTGGTCCTTTTTACAACTTTCAAAATCCAATAGTTCTCCAGTGTGGGATTTAATAGTATATTTACATGTTTACACTTGAGCTGGTAACCTTAAATTCTCTATGTAAGCTATGGAACAGGTGCTTCAAAAGTATAATCCACCCTGTTCTCAAGCAGTTTTGTAAATCCTAAAAGATTGGGTTTAACTAATCAAAGTACTTATTCTTAATTATTTAAATTGATTATATGCGGTGATTAACCTAGTCCTCTGTATCAGCTAAATTCAGATTAAAATCCCTTTATCTGAAGAGAAGGACAACAATTTATGGAAGCAAAGGGTTGCTACTATATTCAACCATTTGCTCCTAGAGCAAAAACATTATATTCCAGTTGTCGCTATACAATCTGCAAACTAGTTTAATGGCTGATCTTCCCAGTATTAGCCCAGATACCTGGCAATTGCTCTGGGAGATACAGCCCACCTGAGGGTGAAAGCTTTTGCCATTTTGTGTTTCAGGTGATCTTGAGAAGGACTAGCTTTCTGGTGTATTCTAAGCAGAGCAAGCTACTCTATCTCAAAAAACATCTGATTGAATGCATATAAAATAATCTCATCTCCTGACTAAAACTGTCATATCAGAGCCTGTCTTTACTGACACAAATTTAACAAGGCAATAACACACTGACCCACCACTCAGAAGACAGAAAATACAAACACAAATTTTCTGCATACCTAGGTCAAGCCATATGGTCTCTGGAAAATAATTCAGATGTCATCTGATTACCAAGGGGTCTTGACTGAAGATACTAGAACTGCATCATCCAATCACAGAAATACATCTAGGAGCATCACGAATGGGTGTGAGGTTTTTTGGGGTTTTTTTTCTTTTTTTTGTTAATATTAAACAGAGCTGCTCCTTTCATCAAAAAAGGTTTCAAATCTCTTTTTCTAGTCTTTAACTCTGTTTTGATCATATGGTCATATTTGGACAATTTTCATTGATTTGAAGATTAAAGAGCTGTTACTTGGTTTTCCTGGCAACCCAGTTTCGAGGCATTAATGATTTGGTGAGTCAAGGCTAGGAACAGAAAGTATCACGGAAGGCTCACTGGAGGCCGGTGAAGTCAGCCAAACTCCTCATAAGCTTACAAAAGCCTAATGCTGTAGCAGGAAAGCAGTCACATGCTGCATTAATGGAACCTTTACTTTTTTCCATTTCCAGCTGCTTTCACTGCATTCATTTCTTATTTCAAGTTAAAATTTTAGAGAAGGAAACAAAACAAAATCAATGAAAAAACCGAAAGCAATAACCTGTTTTAATAGGATTAGAGTACTATCTTTCTTAAGAACTGTTTTTATTTCCTCTTATATCATCCTGGGACAAAAATTATGACAAAGAAGAGAAATGAAAAAATCTCCAAATTTTTTCACAGAAAAGTGAGGTTATAACATAAGCACACTCAACAAAATTTTTCGCGTCTGCTGAAGTCTGGAACAAAGTACAATACTGTATAATAGAGGGATAACTGCAACCCTTTTTCCCTTCAGCTCTGAAGAAACTAACTTACTTTTAAAGAATATTGTGAAGGACAAAATTTTAGGGGACAGTTTTAATTTAAATATTGTTACTTTTTTTCCATAAATATGCTACTAGCCATACATGCCTTAATTTAGGAGGTAATAAATCTGCCTAACATGTACATCTCCCCCTCCCCCACCAAAAACAAACAAACAAAAAAAAGGGTACTTAAAATTAAGGAAGGGTGTGGCTACAAGAATTTCTCTTAAAGGAGAAATGACTGACAACCTCCATATTAAACAAAAATACAGATATAAAGATAAAAGTGCAATAATCCACTTTTGGAATGGAAACTATTTAAAGAAATACACAGCATATTATAAGCCATTTCTCTCTTTTTTTTTTTTCAGAAAAACATCTGTTGGCTGCCAAGGCATGGAAAGGATAACATCGATTTCAGTAAGATCATTTACAGATATGGCATTGCCTTAGTTTATAAATTGGTTTAAAATTACAGTTGGTCATTTAGTCTTTTTATAAAGATATTATCCTAGTACTAATTTAATTGTGTAGCTTGTTACCATTTGTTTGTTCTCAAACGATTGTATCAAGTTTATGGAAGAGCAGTAGTAAATGATATACTATAGAAGTTTTGTAACTGCTGAGCTACTATCAAAAGCTAAAATTCTGAGAATAATTAAATACAAAGAATATGAACATAGTCTTTTAAAAGATGTACTCAAAAAAACTCCATAGAAATAAACTAGAATACATGTACCAGTTTAATCTTGCAAGAGGCTTTGATAACTTTGAAAAACAGCATATTACTAACCAGTAAGGAAACACCCCACTTTGTGTAGGTATTGCAGAACAGATGATAAAATTCTCATTTCATTGTGGATTTCCTTGCTGGTTTCTTTTTCCACAACCTCCAGACTAAGAGTTTGGATATAAAGAGAAAAATCATATAGGAAGGGGTTTGGGGTGTGGGGTTTTGTTGTTGTTGTTGGCTTGGTTTTTGTTGTTTGGTTTTTTTTTAAATAGCAGTAAAAGGCTGACATGATCAAATCAGATCTGTAAAATTAACTTTGAAGCCCCAAGGCCTTACTGAAACAGCAGTGACTTCCTGTGTAATCACAGAGAACGCTTCTGTCCCTACCACAGTGTGTGTACTGTGGAAATCCACTGGGGCTAAAAAGACTGAAACAGGTCACTGGGTAGGCAGGTTGCTCTGCAACAATTGCTGTAGAGTAGTGACTACAGCAGCACTGCATAGCTGGCATGGAACTAGGGTGACAATAAATGAATGTACTTATTTCTATGCTTGCTCCCTGGGGTCTGATACATCTCCCCTCACAGAGCAACTACACTACCCCTAATTCAGGGGAGAGGACCTCTTGTCAACACAGCATTTGCTCAGGAAGGATCTGTTCCTTATTTTGGTCCAGCTCATGCAGAACGTGACTGAGTCACAGACCAATTTTAGTTTCCCTCTCTTTAAGCAGAGAATATTTAAACCAGCTATGACACCTAGCACAATTAGTACAACAGCATGATCAAAGTTAACTGTCCCACATCAACCACATGTACTCACAGAGAAGTAACATGGGACTTTCCTAACTCACTTTCCTGTCACTGTCAGGCTGCTCTCTCCCACAGCCCATGACCATGATGACAGTCTCTCATACAGAAATGAAGGAATAAATTGAACTTTGCAAACCCTGGAATGGCATATTGAGAAGGTCCTGACCAATCCTACCATGAATTTTGGTTCAGTGAATCTTTAGTCCTTCATTTTTGAACCTAGGCAAAACCCAAATAAAAGAAGTGGGGTATGAGTTTGTTTTAAATAGATTGCATCAGACCAGACACATTACAGTCTTTGTACTGACAGTCAGAACACTTACTAGCTTTATCATGTTACCATTGTAAAAATAAAGGCAAATTGGACATGTGTTACAGGAAAGAGAAAGGCGTCTGCTGGCTGAGTCTTGTCTGTATGGTTTTAGGACACTGCTAAAGTCATTACCCGTCAACTCAAATTTGGTAATTTTCTAGATTTTAATCTGAAAGTTTTTAGGGAAGGTTTGCCAGTCCGTTTTTGAGCTAGGAAGGAGAAAAGAAGCATGCTTTGCAAGCAACTACTGGTCGAATTCCTGTCTGACTGGTAAAATGTTTTTATGCTGCAAGGGTGATCTTGTAATATTAATTGTTAAGGTGCCTAGAGGCCTTGTATATGCATCTTTTTATTATTTAAATATTGAAATAAATAAATCATCTCACTTAAGCAACCAGCAATTCAGATTTCTTAGAATTTTTTCATTAATTTTGATGGTGCTGAACCCCAGATCTCCTAAAAGACTCCAGAAGAATAAGTCAGTTGTAGTCTCTTGTAACTTCTAAATGTAAATACCTCAGCTCTAAGAAATCAAAAGTTATCTAGATTTCTTTCTTTCACTGTTTTTTTAAATAACTAATGGTGTATTAAACGCTTCACTACAGAAGTCAGCACTTGGGCTTGGCTAAATAGTAATTCGAAATTACAAGAATGTGTATGTCGGTATACAAAGCTTCCACCCCAGAGGAGATACCTCACAGAGGCTCAGGGAAAAAAAAGCAAGGGGGAAAAAAAAAGAGAAACAGAATTTCAAATATAATTACTGACACAATCTTAACAACAATGCTACAAATGTGATATAATACTTTGTTAAATATACAAATTGGTAAAACTGAGGAGTTAAATGCTTTGATATATTTAAGATCAGGAGAAATGAACCATCATTATTTAATATCAACTTCAATTTTAAATGCCAAGTTCCACTAAAAAGGGTAGGGCCTGGGGAGCTTTAAATTTAAATGATTATGATGAGTAGAAACAAAGGAAACAATAAACTTAGGTATGTTAAAATGGCTCAAAAAAAGCCAACTTACGCAGCAGCTTCTTGTTTTGACAGTCCTTTGATATTCTTCGCCAAATAATCATCTATGCCGTCTTTGTCTTTGATCAAATGAATCCTAAATTTAAGTGAAAAAAATTAAAAGAAACACTGTGAGGTGCTAACGTAGACTTCTGCAGCATGTATAATATATTAGCATTGCCAAGTAGAGCTGAATACTGAAATACTGAGAAAGTAATATATCAGACATTCTATAAACACATACAAATATCTTGTTAATTTTTTGGTCTGTAGGTATTTCAAATCTTGATTTCTAGAAGAAAACAGCATTGGTATTAGCTTTCTAGGACCCAGTTACCTCATATTTCTGTCTAAACTAGAAGAAATTGTGTATTAGCTAAATCAGTAATAATTGATTAAGCCATCCATATTTAAACTGTTTTCTAAAGAACCATTACATTTTTGCATTGCCAGTATGGGCCAAAATGGTGCAATCTATTTTGTATTTAATCTTTTTGAAATTAAAAAAAAAAAGAAACCTCTGCAAAAAATGTCCCAAACCCAACTCAAAATATTTTCCTCAGTGCAATGCAGACCTTTAACACTGTTCTCAGCTTTCCACACTTCAATCAGCATATTTCAAAAGGCGGTCCACTAACAGGGTAATACAAAAGGCATCAAAATAAACAGCAAATTTCAGGATGCATGGATTGAATTTTAAAATTAGAACTGTACATCATTTCACCTTTCACTTGAGCCATCATCTCTTTGCATCCGCACTCTGATACACAAGAGATGCCTAGAATTTTAAAGGATGATATATACTTACTGACCATAAAGTGTGCTTGAATAGATTCTGATATCCTGACTTTGGAGGATATTATATTTATAAAAGTAATGTGAATTTATTTTTATACTTCTTTAAAAGAGCATGAAGATTGTCTGGTTAATCACTCAAAGACAAAAGAAATTCAACATCAGTGTTCCACATAAATCTACTACTTTCCTCTTTCTCTCTCTGTATTACACTGCTGTCTTTCATTACAGTGATGAGACTAGATTATTTTCATAATGTTAGTTAATATAAGTGTCATTCTCCTTATTTCTCTGAGAATACCGAAGACACTTCATGAAGTTAATTTAAATGAAAACAAAACAGCTAAGCAATGTAGAGATATTTTGACATGTCTGTATTTAAAACAATGTAATAGTAAAAACTTCTGGCACAAACAGTACATTTAAATTTGTCCCAGAATTTATTACTACTGCTGCACCAAACAGAGGCTTATGCTTTCAAGCTGCACATAACACAAGCCATATGAGCTGCTGCTGACCATGAAAAATGTACACCTTATGGATATTGCCATAAAAATTCAGTTATAATCAATACCAATATTTAATCCATATCAAAATTTTCACACCAAAACAGTCACAATTCAAGAAGATACATTAGGCTAATGAAGATGAGGTAATTACTGCATATTTTAATCTGATGTAAAACATATTTCAAGATCCAGTAGGTTTACATGAGGTAATACAAAAATTGAAAAATAATAACTCTGGATAATTAAATATGAAGTGTTCAGTAGGCAACACAATAAACACTTGGCGACCTTCGTACTTTAAGACTGCAAAAATGAGCTTTGTGCACTTAGAGAACACACTTAGAGAACACATGGGCGGGGTGTCCTAACACTCAAACTGAAACAGTCAACTACAACAAACAAATTCCTAGGCATCACTATCAGCTTGCTGCAATTTAATCTACACTGCAGTTAAAAATCATCTCTAACTGGAACAAAGGAAAACTTGATGCCTTTTCTTTATGTTCTCAAGGGTATTTTAAGAAAAAGCAATCAGGAGGAAAGGCCCTAGAATCAGATACAATTTAAAATGTCACCTGCCTTATAGTCAAGGTATAAATTTCTGAGCTCTGTTAGCTAACACCCTCTAACTTAAAAGAGAACTACAGCCAAGGGGTTGGGGAAACCAAAAGCAAGAAATTGCAAAACAATTACTGTTTACATAAGTTCTGCAATAACCTTTTTTAAAGTTAGTAAAACCAATAAATTATCCCATTCTGGCTGTTATTATCAAATATGTTGATGTAGCAATAACACAGAAAAGGCAGGCAGATGATACATAGGAAAAAATAGGTGGTAGAAAATTTTGTCAACTCGAATAATCATTATTTAAAATGGTTTGTAATACACAATGAGAATTAAAACCAATAAATTTAATTAATGTGAAGAACTGGACTGTGACTTGAACTGGAGTTTGATTCTTAATAAAGAAATGAGGTGAGGATGGCACTGGCTAAAGAGGCATTGTTTCTTTCCCCCCAGAAGTAGTCACTCGCTATTTCCAAACTGGTTTAGCCTTATTTCTTCAGTGTTTCCAGGATGACTCACAGTATTTCATAAATAGTTTATAAAAAAAGTCTGCTTCACCTGTAAATTGGCTTCTATTTAATTTTAAATAACTCATTTATTAAAGACAAATATATTTAATCCAATGGACACCTACTCCAGAGTTAACATTTTACACCATGCTTTCCTATCAATATTTCTGTTACCAGTTTACACAACAAAAAAATAACTACTGTTTTTTTTTCCTGGAAATAGACTTCATGATTAATACACCTGGCTTTTCACTCAAAGAACAGAACAAAGTTCCATAAAGGACCAAACTGATTCTCACAAATCTTTCTATCCTCACTGCCTATTCTGTTAACTTGAACTCCAGTTTTCTCAACATTTCCTATCAAAGAATACAGCAGTATGAGCCCCACCCGAGAGACTGGGCCCAAGGCTTCGACATTACTAGATCCTCACTGCTTTTAGATATGGACATACAGCTGCTGAACTCTGAAATGTCGCAGACTTTTCAGCCAAAGGCTAAGGTGATTGAGGGGGCATGGGGAATGAGGAGAAAAAAGAAATTAGTCACAATTATTTCTGAAATGAAGGCAGTTCCAGGAAGAGGACCATACTAGGGCAGAGTAGTAGCTGAGACCAACATGCGCTAAGGGAGAGAAAAATGTATGGATACAAGTAACTAAAATGAGAAATGAGTGCAATGGAACAGGGAGCCTTGTAGGCATTTGCAAGAAGATGGCTTGGCACTGTTGTTAACTCAGTTATTAAGTACAGGATAATGTTTTTCAAGCTAGTTTTATTCATCATATTTTGAGAGATGCAAAACTATCTTGTGCCTGACTAAAAAAAAAAACAACAAAAAACCCCAACAAAACTAAAATCTTGTCTTTTCATCCGAATAAGTACATTTTCAATAACCTACATTCATAACAATGCTAAACAGAACTAACCTCCTGCAGCTGTTGAAGGGGTTTTGAGAAATTAGGATATCTACCTTACACAGAACACATTTCCTATTTAGGTTTTTCCCCTCTTTTAATTATGAAAATTTCCTAAAAGAGAAATTCTTTGCCTCTGATATTTGCAGTTTTAAATATTGCAAAAACCCAAACAGAATTTGTCACCTTAGCTGACTGAAGCTGTTCACCATAAATTCTGAAAGAAAAAGAGGTACATACCTTGCAGAGTCTAATGAGGGGCCAAGAGTCTGCTTTATGAACCTGGGATGCTCCCCTGGGCTTTGCAGGATTGCTTGAGGCAACACATTCACTTTAACTAAAACAAACAAACAAAACACGTTACTTGAAACAATATCTTCACAATGATAAAGTTTCTTATACTTTTTTGTGCTACTCCTCAGTCAACTTCCTTTTTTTCCCAGTGCATTACATGTGCAACTGGACTCAGGTTCCACACAAATCTTTTCAGGCCTCAGCGTTACTTCAGTAGGACATAATGTGAATGAATGGTCATGATCTTTCTTTCAATGGGTTTCTCTTTTTCCCCGGAGTGCTTTTGATTTGCACAGGAACAACTAATTCAGGAATCTTACTTGCACATGATTCCCTGTTCTTCCTCAAGCTGTCTACATCCAAGTATTAGTAATATTTCAAGTTAATACATAAAGTGGAGAAATGATTGAATGTACAGTGCGCAATGCGACAACAGGCACTGTATTAACATTCAAAATAATACATAATCATAATAGTAACAATCCTTTGAATAAAAAATGTAAGTAATGCTATTCTTACAATGCAGGGTTTTACTTAAAACAAAAGCTGAAAGCCCCACAGTTATGTAGAATCGTCTAGCGTGTCATTTTGAAGTACATAAATGTTAATAAGACTTTTTTGTCATATAGAGCTACTGTGTTTTTTTCCCCAAGTATGCAGTCTACACTTCCTACCATTAAAGTTTCAGCTGCCAGTTCCTTCATTTTGCATGTCTGTGATCTGAGGACGTTAGCAGCAGGAGCACCCTTACTTTTAAATTTGGTTTAATGTAGGTATTGCATGCCCTGCTGGTAGGCCTCAAGGCAGAAACTTTTAATGGGAATGGGAAAACAGAATATAGTAGGAGGGGGGAAGAAATTAACCATTTGCTACATTTAGTGAAATGAAATTTATTTTACAGGGAATAAATGTTAGATATGAGCCAACTTGATTCTGAATGATCAGCATCAGACTAGCAGATATTTTACATATTAACCTTCCTGGGATCAAAAGGCATTCCAGTGATGCAATATTTTGCTGTGGTTTTAGTGAAATAATTTTTTAATTGCATTACTTAGAATGGAATAATGTAGACAATTAGAGACTGAAAAGATGATAGGATATGATATTTCCCCTAAGTCATTCTTTTAGGGCTTAGTACTAATGCTAACATCTGTTACAGAAAGAAAAAGTATTATTTATAAATAAACTAACCTACAATTAAAGGCAGCATTTTACAGAAGTGTGTCATGGAAAAACAAATTCAATATAATAAAAGCATATGGGTAATTCATCACTATAAAAGATTATACTTCTTACAGAGAATGATGGGTTTCTATTCACAAGCAATATAGAAAGGAAAATCTCTTTTTAGGAACATGCTGTTCAGTGAGAAATAGTAATTAAACTTCGGAACAACAATATTGAAGCCCAGAGAAGATGAAAAGCGTTCTACAATCCTTAGTTTTGAGGTATTAGGTGAGAAAAAGCAGGTAGACAACATATTAATGGCAACTGTTGTATTTGACAAGGCAGGATAGTTGACCATTTGCAGCTGTGGTGCAGTAAAGGAGGGGATAAACTGCTGAAAGGAGACCCTGGAAAGCCCTGGTGGAGGCACTGCAACCATGAAAAGCTATCAATTGGTAGCTGTGTTTTGTGGCATGCCACAGGTCACAGGCTCCATGTTGCACCCAGACGGGACGTGGCTGGAGCATACAGTAGCTCCTCACTGGCCCACACACTCCCAGTTCCTACCCCACAGACATCAAGCGTACGATAAGGCAGTCTGGCACACACAGGTCTCACACTAACATGAAGCACAGACGCAGACGTTTCCTGAGTCCAATACTGCCTCACAAGGATTAAAACTATTGCCCTGACTCCTATTTCAAACTCATAGCTTGGGATTGAAAAAAAAAAAAAAATTCTGCTTCATATTAATGCCAATTTAATTTTTGTTTTAGAAGTGGGAAGTTGCTTTCACAGTGAAATGCTGGTTTTCCCTTATTTCCAAGGTAACTCTAATCTTTACAAGTAAATTACAATCATGGAGAGACATGAAGGTATCAGCAACACATCCTTCTGAAATGTGTCCTATTACACTCACATACATTTTGTTGCTGACCATTTAAAGACTACTAATCCCTTTCCATCTTACTCCTTTAATATAAGGCCCAAGCCACATATCATTTACTTAATCAAGCACCACAGACTTCAGCAAAAGACAAGGCAGTGCAGTTTGTTCCTAAAGAACAGCTATATTTCATCACATGATGGAGTGAATCTCCCCAGAGGCTGGAATTACTCCAGTATGCATTGAGGCTAAAGGTAAAATGCCAGCTGATCACAATGGTCTTTCCTGGCACATTTTAGGAAACATGTTTGCTGCCACCTAACTCTTCCCATGCATTTTCTGCATAAATGCAACTGGAAGCTGAGCATTTCTGAAGGGCAGCAGCCTAGGAAGTAGGCATGGCTACATCCAGCTCCCTTTGCAAACCTATTCGCTGCTACCCAGCACCTCATAAAACAAAAGGATGTCAGAGTGTAACAGGACTGACTTACAGCCATGCTTCTTTATTACACTGAAAGTACTGATATGATTGATTAAAACAAATAATATTTTTATTTTATTTTATTTTTAAATCTATAGATTTCATGATAGATGGAATTTGGTCCAAGTAGCCAGGATGAGGCCACAGCCCAGACCAGCGCCTGGTTTTGGGGCAGTCGACCCATGTTCTGAACCTCCTCTGGCTTTGTGGCTATCCAGCCCTGGCTGTGGGTGACAGAAGACAGCCTCCTCTTGCCGCTTCCTGTCCTTCACCAGCCACCAACAGGTACACTTTTTTTGTTCCCCTCACCTGTTAACCATCCTCTTACCCTACATACCCTCAGTCCTGGACTCTGGTACGGTCTCAGCCACTTTAAAGAAATAAGAAAGAATTAACCGAACTTTGCAGAGGAACTAACCTCTACCCATGGTGCTGCTCCTGCAGGATGAGCTCTTCATTGCCGAGCCCTCCAAACCCTTCGCTTAATGGCTTCGTTACTCTCCCGCCGCCGCCTAGGACGAGACGGCGTGTGCGCCCTGGGAGGAGCGGGGGGCACAGGGAGCCCCCAGTGGCCCCAAACGGCCGCGGCCCCTTTCTCCCGAGCCGACTTCGGCCCCGGTACCACCACCCGTAGCCGGGACGCTTGCTGCCTCGCCATGGCAACGGAGGTGGGCGGTGCTGAGGGCCGGCCTCCCGCCTCGCTGCCTTCCCCGAACCCGCCTCTGCCGGGCCCGGTCACCGCCTCGGTCCGCCCCGATGTGAGACACCTCTGCGCTTGGTGTCTGTGGGGCGGCTGGACGCCGAGGCGTGGGGAGCAAGCCTGCTGACTCGCTTCTGGGTGAGGCCTGCGGGCCAGGTGGGCCGCAAAGTCCGACTTAGACCATGGAAAACGCGGAAGCTGTGAGAAATCAGCGCCACTCGAGGTGCTCCACATTAACAGGTCCTCCAGCTAACAGGTGGTTGTGTGGTTTCTTGGAGCTCAAATGAAATCCAAATGAGCTTTTCTGAAGGGGAGCATGTCTCAAAGTTAAGTGAATTTCTGAAGCTGACAAGCAAAGAACCAGTGACAATATCATAATGATACTTAAAGGAAGGTTTGTGGGCAGTCTCTTGGTTTATAGATGAACACCTGCTGTAAGCAGGCTTTTTTCCTTCAGGACCTCTGATCTTCCCGACATCCTTCCGGACTTTTGTGCAACAGAAAAGAGCAAGTAGAAAAATCTAGACCTAATTGCTAAGTAAGTGACATAACATGAAAGCTTTTGGTTAATGAGATCCTGCTGTTTAATTTATTGTAGAAAGAAACTGCTCTTCCAGGGGACAGATCAGGTAAGGAATCTGGGAGATTATAAGAAATGGAAATAGTGAGAAGGAACCAATGAGCTTTTTGTAAATGCAGATGAAAATTATAAGAGAAACATAATAGGATGCTGAAGAATACAAAGAGCAGAGGTTTTTCAGTAGCCTATTTTTTGGTGTTGGAAACCTGCAGAAGAGATCATTTTTTTGTAGCACAGGTTTGACCTATTTTTTATTGCTAAAACTGCTTGGAAAACCACAATGTCAAAATCAATTGTTATAATGTATTTTGGAAGGATCAAGTGGACAGAAAGCACTTCAAAAATGGCATTACCTCTCTCTGAGTTGATGGCAGTCGGAAGCAAATGATCTTGAATGTTTATGGGTCAATGTTCTAACAGATAAGTCAGAAACTGACAGGGTACTTAGCTGATATCAAATCACACTAGAGAACAGCATGACCTATGTCTTACCCACCTACAATATATAGGGAAAACACTGTTGTACTGTGGTGAATTTCAATCTGAGTGACATATGCTGGAGGTCTCATGCTGCCTGTGTTAAAATGTACCTGGCATTTCAAAATACTTTAAATGTCAATTTCCTAACTCAAAAAGTGTTGCATCCAACACAGGGGAATTCTATATTAGACCTCGTCAGATGAAAAGGAATTGATCACAGAACTAAAAATTAGCCATACCTCAGATATAACTCATAATGATTTGATCACATTTGTTATGTGCAAACAGAATTAAGTCCAAACCAATATATATATACTTAATGATTTGCAAGGGCTAATTTTATAAAGGCGAATACCATTATAAGGTAAAGCTGTTGGGAGAAAGAATGTGATCTGAAATAGGAGAATGATAATTGGAAACCGTTTAAGGATGTTAGCCCAGATACCCACAAAGACATAATCCCACAACTAGGCAATACATTTGCTGAAAAGCCAGGGTAGTTTACAAGGAAAACATGTATGAAACAGAAGAAGGAAATGTGGTACCATACATTTACACTGTAAGTAGGAACTGTAGAAAATTGCTGTGGGTAGTAAAAGGTTATAAGGGAAATATACATATGGTCAACAAAGTTAAAATGTGGAAAACAGAATTTTAAGTATAGATGATAGAAAATGATCTGAATAGTGAGAAGACCCTATTAAAGAATGATGATGTCAGCTTTAACCATAATTAGTGACAAACTTTGTATGTTAAAACATATTTACACACACACACATGCTACCTCTGCACATTTGGGAAGATGACAGCTGAAGTAGTTACGTCATATGGCATCAATGAGTTGTTTTTTATTCAAATGATAATGTAGGAGGACAGTTCAACCTCAGTTACTAAACCAAAACTGGCATTAGAGAGTTTTTGAATGAACATGTCAAGAAGTTGTATACACTAATGATGTTCATATTCAGAATTTCCTGGAACACTAAGACATTTACATAAAGAGGGTACAGCTGGTAGTTTTCCAATACTTTAAAAGAATAAAAGGGTTAATAGTAATTTATCAATGTCACACTCTTCACAAGCAAAATATGGAACAGCCAATATAAAAGTCAGTTAACAAAAAATTTTAAAGATGACAGATAATTCTGATTAACTTGTGGTTCTGCTATACACGCGCACACACACACACACACACATGTGTATATAGTCAGAAAAATAGAGCCTGGCAAACAGACTTTGTTTTCTTAATGAGGCTGCAGGTTTCATTTACTGATGTAATTTAATGAGATTTCAGTAAAGCATTTGACTAATTATCACAGGGATTTTGAATGAAGCACTTCAACAGCATAATTGTCTCTATCCTGTGCTTAAACTTACAAACAAAAATTGTAAAGACTGAAATGATAAACCAGCAGACTTAAAATTACTGGTAATATTCTAGAATGATCTCTGAAGTACTTGACAAGCAGCCATTTTACACCATGGCTACATCTTCCATGTTAAGCATGTGTAAATCATTTGACATGGAAGCAAAGTAAGAATTTTTTTATGAATATGTATTCAAAGGATCCTGCATGCCAAACAAAATGTAACTTGGAGAGGACACTCTAGAAAAGAATCAAAGGCAGTCTACACCTATATATTAATACAAAGAGGGAGTAGGCTTTTTGTGGTTAAGGTTGAAACCAACTCCTGCAATGCTGTGTTGCAGCACCAATATAATTAGTTTAGAAATGTTTGGCCTGCAAGTCCTGAAGGGAAAGGGTGTCTGTTCATGGAAAACAAAAACCCACAACAATTCAATTGCTAACACTTTTTATTCCTGTCACTGGGGTAGGTCTTCTTCCAATTCTGTAAGCAATGATAATGTCCGAAGACAGATAACATTTTATAGCAGATCAACTTCACAAAAACTATGTGAAAATTTAATTTGTTTGAGCAAATTTGGTGTTTGGATGTTGCAATATTCAAAAACTGTAATCTAAAGAGGCAAAGAGTACAAGATACTGATAATTTTGAGTAGCTGGTAACCTTTTAGGTAATGTGTTGGTGCAGCTTTTATGGTTGTTTGAAAAGGGAATTGTTAATATACTGTCCATTCTTAAATGTGCAATGCCAAATTATATACATATTGCACATTGGTATACTAGATCACTGTCAAGTTCAATTGCTGGCATAATAGGCTCAGGAATGAGCCAAATATTTGACAGAGAACGCAAGTCTCCAAAATCTTTACTTCATGATTCTTGTCGTGTTTTATCTTGCTGTAGCTTGGAAATGTTCCAGATTAGCAATAGAGAAAAGGATTAGACACCATAAACTTTTCTTTTATCACAATTTCCATTTCTCTTTGCTTATGGCAATTCAAACACTGTAATGGGAAACTAAGCAAAATAGGACTGTGTTAACACTAATGTACTGGTGAACATTTACTTATATAAATTTTTCCATTCACTCAAAACAGAATTACTCATATAACTAAAAACTTGCTAAAATAAGTATCAACTCTTCCTAGTTTAGCTCTAAACAAATAGGTTTAAGGGCTACAATGGACAAATTATTTCTCATCCTTGGCCATTACTGTTCTGCATGCCTAGAAATTTGAGTTTTGCATTGTTAAAAAGTGGGTATAAACATTCATTCATAGGCCTGGAATTTCCAGAGATACTGCACTTCAGTTTTATGGCTATTACAAATGAAAACTGGATTCATGGTAACCTAACACATCTCAGAAAGTGTCTAAATCGGTATTTCTTTGACTTGAGAGACATATATGGTACAAACAAAGGTGGCATTGTACAAAGATTTTATTAGCATTTCTCTGAGATCACCTAATAAACTTATTAGTGAATAATGGAGTAACAAGTAATATGGCTTTCCAAAACTCATGCTGTCAAGTCTTTTCTATCTGCCATTGTATGCCTACATTCTACAGGCATTGCAGAGAAAACTGTCCCAGCATTCACTCTATACGTTTACTTCTGCTCCCTCATTTTATAATAAACTGAATTTTATCCCTTTAATATCTCCTCCTAGTTCTGTGGTAATGTTTACTTATTTCAAGTGTTAGTACTCACAGACTTATAGGTATGCATTAGATTTTAATCTCCTGAAACATTTGTAACATTATCAACTTACTTGGTTTGTCTTCTTTGGAAAGTTGTCTAAAAAGATTTATATAAAAAGTTAATCAAACTACATCACTGACTGGGCTCATCAGTACAACTTTTTCATCACCATAACAATATCTATGTGACATCTAGCTTATCATCATGAATTATGGGGTAAAGGATAAACAACCCATTAAGAAATTAAAGGCCCACAAAGGTGCAGTTTGATAAAGGATAAAAAAACCCCACGGGGTATGTATAATAAGATCTCTCTCCCCCGAAGAGTGATCGTTATCTTTCTTTCATGAGCGTCAAAGACCTGGAGCTTCTCAATGCCTCGGGCAAGTGAGTTTGAAGGTCTCCTTCATGATTGAATGGAAAACAGTAATCAGAATGAGGTTAGGACTGTTTATTTTACAGAGCATTTAAAAAAAAAAAAAAAAAAAGAAAAAAACCCCAAACTTCATCTGTATAACTGATATTAATAACTGATAGAAATAGCCACTATAATCATATGTAGAAAACTTCACTGTGTTTTGTGTATGCACTGTGTCATTGTCTGTTAATTCTGGTATGTGTTGGGACAAGCTCTGTTTCTTGGAGAATTGAGCTGAATAGCTCTGATACATTTATTTGTATAGTCTTAATTCTGTAATAAATGGAAGCCTGTATAAAAGAACAGTGACTTACAGATAAAGATGTCTTTACAACCCCCCAAAAAAGAAGTTATTCTTAAATAAGTTTTCATTTCCTGGGACAAAGTATACAGCCAATATCCTTACTGTACTGTAATAAATTATGCCTTTTTTGTACTAATAGAAGATAGTACTATGAGTGAAGTTCATGATTCTGTATATGGTATGACTTGTGGCTGAATGATAATCTAACTAAATCGAAGGAGGTTCAGTCAAAATTAATGACTTGAGTGATGAAAACAGAATTATCCAGTACAGTTCTCTTCCTTGCCTAATAGATTGTACTAAAATTAATGAAAAAAATATAAATTGAGATAATCAGAAAGGTTGCCAGCAAAAGGTGCTCATATTAAATGACACTGAAGGATTATTTTTTTTCCTCAGTAAGTTGAAATTCTGAAGTTTTACACTTGGTCCCTGCAGGTTGTTTATTCTTAATTGCTATAAAATTCTTCTTCCATTATTGTTTTCTAGCTCTGGTTACACCCATTGATTGCCTCCCATCTTAAACACTGATACAGAGAAGTAAATACATGTTATTTACAGGTAACATTTCATGTTGGAGCCTAGCCCTGAGAACTGTGCACTACTGCAGTGTAAATGATAAATAACAGTATGTTAACTACATAGAACAGATGTCTTTTGAGGTCAGGAGATCTGAAATTCTCTTTCT